TGGAGCGTCTTTGATGCCTCGGAGGGGCCTCTTGGAGCTTCTTTGGTCTCTCGTGGGGGCCTCTGAGGGGCCTCCCTTGTGACGCTGAGCGCCTCCCTGGTGATGCTGGGTGCCCCTTTGGGCACTCTTGGGGCCATCTACGAGGATATCGATCAAAGAAGGGGGGGTGCTCATCGGAAACTAAAAAGCGAGAAGGCCACAAACCTTGATGTTCCTCAGGTTATTTAATGACTTTTGCCTCTTGGGGAGTGCCCTGGGAGGCTCGAAGGGCACTCTGAACCCTCTTGGGGCTGTCTTGGGCCGTCTTAGGGGCATGCCTGAGGCTATCTTGAGCGATCTAGAACTCTCTTGAGCCATCTAGGAGGCCATCTTGGGCTGCCGAGGGCGCTCTTGGAGCCCTCTTGGGCCATCTTGGGCGGTCTGCCGACTCGGGGTGACCCCCCTCCCGGGCCCAGGGGAGGGGGCAGGGCAAGCTAGGTGCGCTCGCGTCATATCTGACTTTCTATCCCTCCCTCCCATCCCTGACCATGGCGTAGATCTCCTGTCTGTTCGCACAATCGGATGTCGCAGCATGGCATAGCATTACATGGCATAGCATGGTGTTGAAGATCAACGCGTAGCATGACATAGCATGGCGTGGCGACGCCCCAAAGTGAGGGGGGGGCTTCTGCGGCCTGGAAAATCAACGAATCGACACCGAATGTATAATCACTTCCGATGGTTTTTTTGGGAAGCCATTTTCTAGATTTTGGGGTCATTTGGAAGGACCGAAAACCATGCCGTAGCATGGCATAGGAGATAATGACGCCACGATTCGGGACGAGCGGAAGTGCGGAAATGAGGCCAGCGCTGCAGCGGGAACACGATTCGGAACGCGCGGAAGCGCGGAAAGAAGGCCAGCGCTGCAGCGGGAGCACGATTCGGAACGAGCGGAAGCCCGAAAATGAGGCCAGCGCTTCAGCGGGGGCAACCTGTTGATCAGAACCCGACCAAAATCCCTTTTCCCAGGAATCCTGTGTGTAAGAAACAGTACGCGGAGGGGGGCCGGATATCTTCCGGACGTCATCAAGGGAGAGAGGAGAGTAGCATTCATATTGTGTAAGTGTGGAGGGGCAAACCCTTCCCCCAAGCAGAGGAAGAAAGGTTGTGGCAGAGAGCTGAGAACAACTCGTTAAACCACTCAGCCCAGAGGGCTGGTGGGATTCCCAACAGTTTCACGAATGGAGAGCGGGTGCTTTTCAGAACGTGTTTCTCGCTGTAGCACTGCGCAAATTCGTTTTACTAGTTTGCAGTAGTTTCGCGGATGGAGGGTTGGTGTTTTTCAAAATGTGGTTTTCGCTTTAGCGCCGCGCACGTTCGCCTTGAACGCTTGCAACAGTTTCACGGATGACGGGCGGGTGATTTGCGAAATTTGGCTCTCGCATTCGCGCCGCGCACATTCGTCTTGTAAGTTCGCTACAGTTAAAAAATGGATTGCGGGTGTTTTGCAACATGTGACTGTCGCCTTAGCGCCGCGCGCGTTTGCCTTAAACGTTTGCATCGGTTTCACGGATGACGGGCGGGTGTTTTTCATCATGTGGTTCGCCCTAGCGCCGCGCACATCGTTGCAACATCTTCAAAGATGGGTGGCGGGTGTTTCGCGAAATGTGACTTTCGCCTTAGCGCCGCGCGCATTCGTTCTAAAAGTTCGCAGCAGTTTCACGGATGGAGGGCGGGCAGTTTTCAACATTTGGTTCTTGCATGAGCGCCGCGCACACGCGTCTATTAAGTATGCAGCAGTTTCAAGGACGGAGGGTGGCTCCTGTTCAAAATGTGGCCCTCGCGTTCGTAGCGCCAGGTACGTTCGTTTCAAATACATGCAGCGGTTTTCAGGGCTCGTATGGCCGAAGTCACACAGGAATGGTGTTCTGTGGCACGGTTTAGGATTGTTTAGGCTTGTGTCCTGGCACGATGTAGGGTTGTCAGGACGCAACTGTCACGTCGATCCGCGGCGTTGCATTCCCAGGAATCTGTGTTTTGGTACGATTGGGGATTCTCAGACGGTTGTTTTCCAATGCCCACTTTCCGCAAAGAGAGTGCCTCTCGACCGCCCTGTGTTTTTGGGCCTTCGTTTCGAAGACACAGCGCCCCACGCCATTCCTCTCCTCTCCTCTCCTCTCCTCTCCTCTCCTCTCCGTTCCTCTCCTCTCCTCTCCTCTCCTCTCCTCTCCTCTCCTCTCCTCTCCTCTCCTCCCTCTCCTCTCTCCTCTCTCTCCTCTCTCTCTCCTCTCTCTCTCTCTCTCTCTCCTCTCTCTCTCTCTCTCTCTCCTCTCTCCTCTCTCCTCTCTTCTCCCCTCCGCATGTCAATGATACTGGAGAAAAACCCCAATCAGAATTTGTTTGGGGCTAAAGGGCTATAGGGCGATAGCGATATGGGGCTATAAGGCTATAGGGCTACAGGGCACCGGGCACCCGGGCACCTGGCACCCGGCACCCGCCCTGGAAGACAAAGCCTCGTGGCTATTATTGGGCCGTTCTGGTGTGGAACTGTCAACGATTAAGTGTTTGGTGGTTTCTATTTCCATGTCCCGCGCATCATCCACCCGGGGACCGAGCACCCGGCACCCACCCGGGCACCGGGCACCCGTCACCCGGGCACCCGGGCACCCGGGCATCCGGGCACCCGGGCCTGGCCACCGAATCGGCGGCGAACCCAGGCACCTGGGCACCCGGGCACCCGGGCACCCGGGCCTGGCCACCGAATCGGCGGCGAACCCGGGCACCCGGGACCCGGGCACCCGGGCACCAGGGCACCCGGGCACCCGGGCACCCGGGCCCGGCCACCGAATCGGCGGCACACCTCACCTACTACCCTTAAATCCGCTAGGACCCCTACAGAGGCAAGCTCTGATTGGGGAACTATTTCGGCACACCCCTCACGCGTTACGTGACCCCACAGGGAGCTCCACGGAAGGCCCCGAGGCGACGTTCGCATGCGTCCCGCCCGCCCATGTCGGCACACCCCTCACACGTTTCGTGGCTTCATCGGGAGCTCCGCCGAAGGCACCCGTGGCGACATTCGCATGCGACCTCTCCGACGATTTCGGCACCGGAGCGAAAGGTCCAATCGTGTCTTTTGTCGTCGAGATGTCGGATGTCTGGGCTAGCCAGCCCCGTCCCAGGCCTGTGCCTGGTGGACGCGGCCACCCTGCCAATCCAGGAGGGCAATCCACTGACCCACGGGTGCCCCGCGTGCGGAGCCTCAGAGAGTGGTGCAGCTTCGTGCAGTGCACCGCTGCGCTGCTGAGGCCTGTGCCGCATTCGGGGTGCCGAGGCCTGCGATCTGGACGTTCTCCCTGGGCCATCACGGGTCGATGTGGTTCGAAGAATGCAGCAGATGGGTTCCAGGGTGCCAGTCGTGATTTTTCGCGCTGTTGCATTTTTTCGCAACGTCGGATCTCAGGGAAGCCTCACGCGCGCGACCTGACGGGCCCCGGGAAAGGGGATCGGCAGACCTGGCTGCGCTGCTTGACGGCTGTTTAAGGCCTGCAGTTCTGATCCTTGCATATGCTGAGGACAGAGCCTAGTTCGGACATAATCTAATTGTAGAGCTAGGACCTCGACTTAGTAACGAAGCGTGCCTCACGGAACTCGTTGCAGGAATGGATCTATGGGGTTGCATCAAGACGTTTGTATGAGATGTGTACTCCGATTTGATTGTTTTTCTACCTTACCATGGATTGAGCCACTTGCTCGCGTAAACGGCCCAATTGTAATGGTTAGGACCACAGAGGGGCGCGTCGGGCGAAACCTCGGCCACCTCTGATCCACCAGTATTCCCAGCCAGCCGACTTGGGGGCGCCTGCAGGGGTACTGCTCCCCCTGTCCACCACTGTGGCGCGAGCAGGCTCAGACTGTCGCTTTCGGCTAGCGGGGGCCTGCTGACAGCCTGCACGCGCCAGGGGCAGGGCCGAGCGGCGCTCCAGGGGGCTCGCCTCAGCACTTGCAGGGTGAGGTTCCCTCCGCCGTTGTCCACCTCGTCGATCCCTTACATATTCGTTTTTTCATCATATCACCCTCACGTAGCCCTCGCAGCGACCCGTGCAGCCACTGCGTCGTCTTGCCAAGCTGATCCTACCTGCACCGCCGAGCTATGCACTCGTTCCAGTGGCGCCGCGGTCAAAGCTACATCATGTACGCTGGCCTCGCATCCATTGCGATGTTACCTGCGCGCAGTTCCGTCATTGCCTCGCATTTGGTTCAGCACAGCATCAGGATTCCATCAGTTCCCATGTACAACACTTGCACTTTGCATATACTTCATTGTGTGCGTGTGCGTGTGCGTGTGCGTGTGCGTGTGCGTGTGCGCGTGCGTGCCTGCGTGTGTGTGCGTGTGTGTGTGTGTGTGTGTGTGTGTGTGTGTGTGTGTGTGTGTGTGCGTGTGTGTGCGCGCGCGTGCGCGTGCGTGCGTGCGTGCGTGCGTGCGTACATTTTATATGTGCCTCCAGGCGGACACATGGGTAGCTCCGTACAGCGATGTCTTAGCTATTGCATCCGTGCGTCAAGCACGCACCAACCGTCCGTCATAGCTACCTCATGGCCGCCATGTGCCGCATCGCTGCTTACTGCGTCGACTGCCTCTCCTCATGGCTGTCATCATTCTCGCTCGCCGCCGGTTTCCAAGCACCACCTCCACTGGTCCGCCCCAGGCCAACATGATCACTGGTATCCGCCTCGTGGACAAGCTGTCGGGCCCAAGGGCGGCCAACGTCATTCGCTTGGAAGTCTGGTTCTCGAACTACGACGACACGCAAGCGGTGGGCCCCCCCCTCGGCACGGGCGGTGGGAATCTCCCTTCCTCGCGCAGGGAGGGACTTCGAAGAGTTGCCTCAGGCGGCGAAGTCGCCCGTCTTTTTCGGATCACGGCCCGCAAAGGAGGCTCCCGCTGCCGCCAGCCCCCCCGCGGAGTCAGCTTCGGATTGCACAATTGGGACCCTACTGCGGCTTACTTGCGGCATTGACGGGGCCATCTGGGAGCCAGTGTAGGCACACCTTGGAGCCTCAGGGGGCCACCTTCGGGGCGACCTTTCGCAACCTTGGCTGCCCAGGAGCCTCTGCGAGTCCTCGTCGGGGTCACTACAGTCGGTGGGCGAATCTGCTAGTGGGAGCTTGCCGTGGGCGGCTGGAGCGCTCGCGCTCGGTAGACATGCATGGCTGCAGCCCTCGCCGTGTGCGGCTGGAAGCCCTCGCACTGGGCAGCAAGAACGCATGGCTGGAGCCCACGCCGCGCGCCGCTGGAACGCTCGCGCTCGGCAGGAGTGCATGGCTGGAGCCCACGCCGTGTGCGGCTGGAGCGCTTGCGCTGGGAAGAAGTCCGTGGCTGGAGCCAACGCCGGTGGGCGGCTGCAACGCTCTCGCTGAGCTGGAAGATCCCACCGTGGGCGGCCGGAACACTCGCGCTGGGCACAAAATTCAGGGGCCGGAGCCGACACCGTGGGCGGCTGGAGCACGTTCCTTCGTAACAAGTGAGGGCTGGAGCCACCCGTTCTTTCTGGCGTAGGCGGCTTTAGCAATGTAAAAATGACGGGTTGGAAGATCACCCTGTTTAGGGCTTAAGAAAAAAGTCGTGGGGAGGGGGGGGACGGGCCAGGGGCGGGGGTCGTAGCATTGTGTCCACGCCTCGCTCCCAAACTGGGTCAGTCCGCGCGCTCGTCTGTCGGTCAGTCGGTCCGTCGGTCGTCGTCGTCGGTCGTCGTCGTCTCGGTCCGTCGGTCGGTCTGTCGGTCGTCATCGGTCGTCGTCTCGGTCGGTCGGGTGGTCGGTCGATCGGTCATCATCGATGGTCGTCGTTTCGGTCGGTCGGTCGTTCGGTCTGGTCGGCGGTCGTCGTCGTCGGTCGTCGTCGTTGTCGTCTCGGTCGTCGTTCGTCGGTCCACAAAGCCAGAATCCGCGCACGCCATGGCGCGCTCCGAATGCACGCCGCTGGAGCCAAATCGACTACGGGTGCAGTGAGGTTGAGAACGCGACGTTGGACCCAATCTCTGCCCGATCTGATATGCTCAGACAAAAATTCATTGCCAACAGTAGACCACTGACAGTAGGGTTATCCTGGGGCCTATTTGGTGCTTTTCTGAGCCATCTTGGGCCATGTTGGTTGCGTCTATGGGCCTCTGGAGTCTTCCTTGGGGCCATCTTGAGAGGAACGCAGCAGACTAGCAGTGAGTACAGAAACGTTTGTTCCTTCCCCGACCATCCTGTGGTGTGTGGTCCTCGTTTTGGATCCTCAGCGCCCCGCGTCCTACTCCTCCCTCCTCTGCCTCCTCCTCCTCCTGCCTTTTGATCTCCGCGTCACCCCCTCATGCACTTCGTGGCCCCATACGGAGCTGCACCGAAGGTCCCATTGGCAAAATGCACACGGCGGCGCCGCCCTATTTCGGCACACCCACCCACACGCGTCGTGACATTATGAGGAGCTCCACCGAAGGCCCTAGTGATATAGTTCGCACCGTGCCGCCGCCCAATTCCTGCACACTCCTCACACGTTCCGTGGCCCAATATGGAGCTTCACCAAAAGCCCCAGCGGCAAACCTCGCACGGTGCCGCCGCCCTATGCCGGCACACCCCTGACACGGTTCATGGCCCCATATAGGAAGCTTCGACGAAGGCCCCAGAGGTAAAGTTCGCACGGCGGCACCGCCCCATGCCGGCAAATCCTTTACACGTTTTGTGCCCCACATACGGAGCTCCACCAACGGCCCCAGTGACAAAGCTCGCACGGCGGCACCGCACGTATTTCGGCACACCTCTCACACGCGTCGTGGCCCCATACGGAGCTCCGCCGAAGACCCCGGTGGCAAAGTTCGCACGGCGGCGTCGCACTCATGTCAGCACACCTCTTGCACCGCGGCAGGTTTTGTTGGGGTCGGGGTGGGAAGGTGGGCTGGGTAACGCAAAGGGGGGCGGAGAAGGGAGAGGAGGATCCTACGCAGCCTTCGAGTGACCGCAGCCACGGGACGAGCCCGTGAGCCCTGTACTTGCTATCCCGCCCCAGAGTTCGGGCGGACAGCAACAACAGCACGGCGCCTTACGACACGTTGGCGAGATCCGGACAGTATAACCGCGAAGAAGTGACGCCACCCCTCCGTGACGCCACCCGTCTGGGGCCAACGGCTGGCGCGCGACATTCCCGGCCCTGCCGCCCATGCGGGCTCGCGGCCTGTGAGGATGCTGCCACGAAGTCACAAGGGTATTGCCGTGAGCCTGCTGAATCCTCCTGCCCTCAAGCCCTGGTGTGTTTATGGGTCGGAGGATCCTACGCAGCCTCCGAGTGACCGCGCCTGCAGTGGGCGATGAACTCGAAGCGCTGCTGGCGCCAGGACGCGACCGAGCCACACGATACGGCCCAATGACGTGGATCGGCTCGCCTCCCTGCGCCGACGACCCCTTGCTGGCGAGCGGGCCACGACACTGGCCACTGACCGGTGCCGCGGACCGAAACGGAAGAGCGCGCCGGCTCAAATATTGTTGACGCTTCGCGTATGTATCCTCACTCATGCAAGGTTTCTCACAGGGAATGGTGCTGCGTCGCATTCCGCATTCTCTGAGGTCAGGTGCCCCCTGGCCTGCTCCTGGCTGGTGTCGGCCCCTACTGATGACCAGAAGGTTCCAGTGGGTCTCTCGCTACACTGCCTACCGTACGGTACCTGGACCCCGGGTTCGGCAAGTGTGGCTCTGTACGCTCGTTGGCCGACGGTCTCCTGCATGGACTTCGCTTTCGACGAGTGTTACAGGTTTTACTGCCGCTTGCAGTCTTGTCGGTGATGAGGTTGCCCCTCTTCACTCTTGCGCCGACACGATGTTTTGGCATTTGTGTCGCCTACGGCTCGGATGTCGTCCGGGTGTGCCTGTCGGTCTAGTTCGTCTCTGACGGTGCTGTTTGTTTGATTCACATCGAGCGATCGACCTCTGCGTGTGTATGGTCGCGCCGCCGCGCCATTTTGGCTGCGTTCACTTGCTGGTCGCCACCGGATTTTCCAACGCCGCCGGTTTTGAGAGTTTCGGTTCTGGCTCTCCTTCTGAGTGGCTGCCAGCTCGCTCGCTTCGCTTGCCTTTCTTTTCCTGCTGCCTAGTCGCGGTCCGCCTAGTGTTCGGACGGCTTTCGACCCGCCTCGCGAGCCTGTCGACCAAAAAGTATGTATCCCCACTTGCTTCGGCGTGGCCCGCCCTAGTTTTGCCTGACTTTCGATTTGTTTCGCGAGCACGCGAACCAAAAAAGTATGTATCCCCACCCCCTAGCTTGCACGGCGTTCGACTCGTCCTCGCGCGCCCGCGTACCAACAATGTATCCCCACCAGCCCGCGTACCAAAACCGACGCGCAGGCCAGTTGAGACGAACATGGAAGCGTAGGAGCAACATGGCGGACAGCCGTTATCGTTCGAGGGAGCACGAGGATGAGGAGGAGGAGGAGAAAGAGGAGGAGGAGGAGGAGGATGAGGAGGAGGAGGAGGAGGAGGATGAGGAGGAGGATGATGATGATGATTAGGATGATGATGATGATGATGGTGTTGATGATGATGATGATGCGGATGATGGCGATGATGGTGATGCTGATGAGGAGGATGATGCGTAATTTGTTGACTGGTGTATAGGTTTATTGTGCAAAGAACGTGGAGGTAATTACGTTTGGACCCTCCTGGATGGACGTCCTCGTTGGCCGAGGATCAATAAAAAAAGGAATCTTCGGCCTCCTCCAACGCCTATTGTTGGCGTGGTGTACTGGTGAATTAGCGGGAGAGGGCGGGCCCCAAACAGCACTTGTGGTGGTAGCTGCCAAGGGTGTGAGGCCTATGATGGTCCTCACTGGTGAGGCCTATGATGGTCCTCGCCAGGGTTGGGGAAAGAAGCCAGGAGGCTGAAATGGATGTCCAGCAGAGCAGCGTCCTGGGAGGGATAGCTGACAAGGGCGCATACAGATAACACATTACCTCCGCCTGTGAAGCCCCGGCGTTTAATTTGAACCTCAGCCCCCAAACAGGGGGAGGGGAAAGAGGGCGGAGGGCAACGGGAAAAACCAAGGAGGAGAGGAGGGAACGGAAGAGGGGAACAAGGCGGGGGAGGCGGGGGAGAAGAGGAAAGGAGGGGAGGGGGCCGGGAAGAGAGGGGGAGGGAAGAGGCGAGGGAGGACGGAACCGCAGGGAGGGCAGAAAGAGGATCCGTGGGCAAGCAACGAAAGACACCACGGGGGGAAGCCTCGAGCCTGGGGGCCGTGGGATACCCGAAAGGAACGCGAAAACGACAGGTCCACAGCTTCCCACGAGCCTGCAGCCGCCGACCGCCAGGAGAGGGCGCCAGTGGAAAAACAGCCGCCGCCCAGCCGCCGACTTACCACTGGCATCCACCAGGCAAGAGCGGCGGATGGGGAGCGGAAGAAGAGACCAAGTGCTTTACTTCCGCGGCCGTCCGCGTGCTCACCGCCGTCAGCCGCCCCGACCTGCAGAAGATGGTGGGGACCGTGACCCATACCCATGCTGCGGAGCCTGACCGAACTGGTGCCCAGGAGTGAGCACAGAGCCCCGGGTGTATTGTGGGGCGGGGGCCTGACCTGCCGAAAAACCACATGGAACCTGACGGGACCGTGGCGTGGGCAGGATATGCGCGTCGGGGACGGCGTCGGAGGCGTTGCCAAGTAGGAATCCGGAGGAAACCTATGGAATCCCTTGGGGATCCAAAGGAATCTGGAGGAATCCTGGGGAATCCATAGGTGATCCTGGGGAATGGCTGGGGAATGTTCGGGAATCTTACGGAATCTTTGGGAATGGTTGGGAAATGCTCGGGGATCCTTTGGCGTCCCCAGGGAGTCCTAGGGAGTCGTCAGACATCCAGATCATTATTACTATGATGATTATGTCCACCATCGCTAGTAGTAGTACTACTTGTAGTAGCAGTCGTAGTAGTAGTAGTAGTAGTAGTGGTAGTAGTAGTAGTAGTAGTAGTAGTAGCCGTAGTAGTAGTAGTAGTAGT